CCCCCAAGCGGAGCCGCCCCTGGGCCCGTCTGCACCGGAGGCTGCGGCGGCAGGAGCCACGGACCAGACCAGCCACATCCAGGGGTCTTCATTTCTACGGCTCTGGCTTTTGTTTGGGGTTCTCTCACCCTCTTTCTCTTTCCTTCTCTCCTTCCCTCCCTCTCTCCTTCCCTCCCCCATTCTCCAGATCTCCTGTCTCCTTTTCCCTCTCTCTCTCTTTCTTGGCCCTTGTCTTTCTCCATGTTGGGGGTCCTGCCTCCCCGACCCCATATCTCCCTGTTCCCCGGGCATTGCCCTCTCCATGGCTCTGGTCACCCTGACCCTCTGCCCTGCCCACCGCAGGTCCCCTGGGGCCCCGGAAGCCCCTTCTGGCTGCACCTGCCATGTTTACAGAGGGCCCCTGGGCTGCGCGGCCCCAGCCTGGGCACCCTGATTTTTAAGCCATAGACCTGGGGTCAGGGCAGGAAGGAACTTCACTCCGCTGCTTCCGAGAACCTCGACCGTGACGTTCGGGGCCGGGCGGGACCCGCCCCACAGACTCCAACTTCCCCTCCAAACCCCGAAGTGAAACCCGCCACCGAGTTATCCCCACAAATGGGGCCACTGCGAGAAGTTCCCCCACCCCTAAAAAAATAATTAAACTCGCAGGCCGGGCGCTTTGGCTCACGCCTGTAATCCCAGCACTTTGGGAGGCCAAGGCGGGCGGATCTTTTGAGGTCAGGAGTTGGAGACCAGCCTGGCCAAAATGGCGAAACCCCGTCTCTACTAAAATACGAAAATTAGCTGGGTTTGGTGGCGGGCGCCTGTAATCCCAGCTAGTTGGGAGGCTGAGGCGCGAGAATCTCTTGAACCCGGGAGATGGAGGTTGCAGTGAGCAGAGATCGTGCCACTGCACTCCAGCCTGGGCAACAGAGGGAGACTCCTCCGTCTCAAAAAAATAAATAAATAAGCTCGTGAGCTGGTTCCAACCCCCCCTAGGAATCACAGCTCCCCGTACTGGTGCCGCCGCAGTGGCCAAGTTGCCACACTGCCCACGGCCCTTCCGCCTGATGCAGATTCAGGGCTTCTCTTCGATCATGTTGGGTTTTGACTCTGTTTTTCCTTGACTGCAAAACCCTCTTTCCTCTCCTCTTTTGGGACAAGAGCCCTGGTTTTCTACGCTGCCCTTGGCCACCACACTGCCTGCCCGGCGAGCTGGGAGGCAGGTTTTGTACGGTACGTTGTTATTGATATGATATAAAACATCAAACGTCGTGGGTGATTCTGTTGTCAGTGACTGGGCTTCAGTACCGTCTCTGCGTGTCGGGGACCGTGGTGTTTACGGGGTCACAGCAGGTCGGGCCCATGGGTTTAACTCCAAGCCACCTCTGAGACCCGACAACCCCTCCCTCCCCCAGTTTAGCTGCTCAAGCCCAGAGCAGTTGAGGCAGTGCCCAAGGTCATACAGGAGAGAGATTCAAATCCTGAGCTCCCGACTGCTCAGGGGACCCCAGACCCCATCCAGCCACTCAAGTGCTTCCAAGCTGCTCCCCTCCACCACCCCCAAACTTGAATCCTGTCGCAGCCATCAGCTGTGTCCTTGGAAAAGTCATATCCCCTCCCTGATCCACAGCTTCCTCATTCATTGCCAAGTGGTGTCAAAAGGCACAACCCTCCCATGCCACAGGGAGGGGTCTCCCCTGTCTTTGATGTTCTCAAGGCGTTGGCACCTCCATCCAGCACTGGAGGCTCTTCTCTGATCTCTCCTCACCCCCTCCCATGCACAGACCGCCAGGTCCCAGGAGACGCTGAGCAGAAGCCCTGGGGGGTTTTTTGTGTTTCTTTTTAAAGAGTCAAGGTCTCGCTCTGTCACCCAGGCTGGAGCGCAGTTGTGTGAACACGGCTCGCTCGTAGCTCACGGCCTCAAACTCCTGGTTTCCAGCCTCAAGCAGTCCTCCCATCTCAGCCTTCTGAGTTACTGGATTACGGGTGCGTGTCACCATGTCCAGCTAATTGTGTTTAAATTTTTTAAAAAACAAGATCTTGCCGAGTACAGTGGCTCACACCTGTAATTCCAGCACTTGGGAAAGCCGAGGTAGGCAGATCACTTGAGGTCAGGAGTTTGAGACCAACCTGACCAACATGGCAAAACCTGGTCTCTACTAAAAATACAAAAAAAAAAAAAAAAAAATTAGCCAGGCTTGGTGGCACGTGCCTGTAATCCCAGCTATTTGGGAGGCTGAGACAGGAGAATCGGTTGAACCTGGGAAGTCGACGCTGCACCAAGCCCTGCACCGAGGTTGTGCCACTGTACTCCAGCCTGGGTGACAGAGTGAGACTCTGTCTCAAAAAAAAAAAAAAAAAAAGATCTTACCCTTTTCCAGGTGAGTTTCAAACTCCTGGCCTCCAGCAATCCTTCTGCCTCAGCCTCCCCAAGTCACATGGGCCACCACGTGTGGCCTCATGGCATCTTTGACCTGGACTCCTGTTTACCAGCCTCCCATCACACCCAGAATCCACACCACCACTGCCATATCCTTGTCCCTTCAGCCCTCCCCAACCCTGGGGCCTTGCTGTTCTTGTCTGTTCTGTACAGCCACCTCTCAAGGCCCAACAAGGCTGAACCTGGGGCAAGTGCATAAACAAACTTCCCTTCTGACCCTGTCTACTGCTGGGACCTTGGGACAGGAGCTGCCTCCCTTAGTCTCAGAGCCCCCCAACCTTGCCAGGCACTGTCCCTGCCATGTGTCCTGTCTGGAGACACCCCGTAAATAACTCCAGCCCAGATAGTGCCTCTCACTGCATAGGTTCTCACAGGAGAAAGGTTGCCGTCTTCATGGCGGGGTGGAAGAGAATAGCCTGTGTGGCTTCTAAAAACACTCAACCACTGGCTGTGTGGCCTTGGCAAGATAGCCTTCCCTCTCTGATCAGCCATTTATTTGTTACCAACTGGAGTCAGCAGCCCCTACCCCCAGCCCCAACTGGATGCTTCTGAGGGTTCAATGATAAAATGGATTGCGAGCCCACTCTATGCCTGGCAGCAAGCCAGACAGCAATACATTGTGGGGTTACATTTACGATTTCTTCCAATAGGGCTGGGCTGGTAACTACTGGAAAAATTGTAGCAATTATATTTGTGGTTATTTCTTCAATCCCACCCGGCATAGGGTAAGCACCAGACTTGAGGCGGTGAGTCCTGGGGAGGCTTTGAGAAGGAAAAGGGCTTTGCCAACGGTTTGGTTGTCTGAGAGATGGGCTCGGGGACCATCCAGCCCCCGGGACTTCAGGGAAACTCTGGCTTCCAAACCAGCTGCTGTGTGCGTGGTCGGGGTCTTCCACATAGCTAGAAGGGGGCACAGCTGGGGACTCAGCTGTATCTTCCAGCCGTCTTTGGGACATTTTCTTCCTTAGGATCCGGTGTGTCTTGCCCTGAATGTGAGGCCCTGCAGGGTCTGAATGTCTCAATGATTCCCCCAACACTCCAACCTCCATCTGGGCCTTTTTTCCAGGCTATTCTCTCTGCCTTCACTGCTGGGGCCACTGTCCTGTGTAGGCACCAAGGCCTGACCATGCCACCCGGAAGCCCCAACCTGGGACAACTCTCCCCCACCTGCCTCTGAGCCCTCCATGGTGACTCTTGTTCCCCAAACCTTATCCTTCTCCCCATTACACAGAAGGGAAAGCTAAGGCTCCGTCACTCAGATCCAAAGCCAGACGGACTCCAAGCCGCCCCACCCCTATCCCAGACAGCACAGGCCCCCGCTTTCCCCCATGGATGCCCCACGAAGGCCAGGTTGCCCCCCACCCTCCACAAGCCTTAGATGGTGAAAAGAAGGAAGGCCAGTTCTCTTCACCCCAAGTCGGAAGTGGGGCTGGAGGGGGGTACCCTAGAGAAATGACACGCCGCTCCCTGTGCCAGCTTCTGCTTTCTGGCATGGCTGTGGTCAAGCCTGAGTCAGTCCCACGGGACCACGGAGCCGGGTCTGGAGCATTGGGGTCAGGAGCTTGAGGGGGAAGGATCAAGGGGCAGGACGTGGGGGTTGGGCATGAGGGAGGTCACGGGCCAGGCTGGAGGGAGGGAACCTGGCCACACAGGCCTTGCCCACTCTCAGGGGGCTGAACATTTCAGTTACTCCCCCAACACCCCAGCCTCCATCCCATCCCCAGCCTCCATCCGACGTCACCCCGTTAGATCACAGGCCCACTCTGAGAGTGGGTCCCAGGCCTCAAGTCCCCTAGCCGCCCCCAGAAAGTCTAGGAGTGCATGGACACACCACCATTCCTCTCAGCCTCTTTGTGTCTATCTCAAAGGCCCCACCTCACCTCCCCTAAAGGTACTCTTGTGCCAGGGCTCACATGCCTAGGCAGGGCTGATTGCCAAGGGGCCCAGTGACCTCGTGACTGGGGACCCAGCACCTGGCAGGGGTGGGGGTGGGACACCCAGAGGGAAGAGTAGAGGAGGGAGGGACGCTGGCTCGGGGCCCAGGGGCGTGGGCACCGGGAGGCCGGCCCGGGTTAGGGGCGGGACCACCCCCTGGTTAAAGGCGCTCATTTCCCAGGCAGCCGCCCCAGCCGCCACACTTCTGCCCCGCAGCGATGTCCCTGTCGCCACTTCTGCTGTTCCTGCCACCGCTGCTGCTGCTGCTGGACGACCCCACGGCAGCGGTGCAGGCGTCCCCTCTGCAAGCGTTAGACATCTTTGGGAATGGGCCGCCAGTTAACTACAAGGTAGGGACGGCGACAGGGCGGGCAGACTGGAGGGGACAGGCGCCCTGTCGGGGCAGGCGGCTCCTTCTTTCTCCCCAGACTTCACAGGGGAAGACCAGGGCCCCGACTGGAAAAACCCCGTTCATTTCCCGGCACTGCGGCCAGAGTCCCTCCGTGCGGTGCCGTTTCGCTTTCGCATCCCGCATCTGAGACGCGCAGTTGCTTCCACCGCCTCGTCCCGCCCAAGGGTTCATTGAGCGCCTATTGTGTACTTTTGGGGCAGGAGCTGGGGTCTCCTTTTATGGTCCAGGGCACAAGTTCAGCAGCTGGCCGAGGGCCACCGGCATGCGTTCTTGCTGCTACCCCTGGTGCATTCATTCCAGCCAGGGCAGGGCTTGCGTGTCTCTGGGACCTATTAGGCAAATGCCCTAGAAGCTGAGCGACTTGCTCAGGGATCCAGCGACACGGGCCGCCCGCCACCCCTCAGCTGAAGCCGGAAGTCAGCACCTATTAGGTGCCGCCTCTGTTTGGTCGGACTTGGAAAGGGTTCACGTGGGTTCCTTGCTCAGCTCAGAGTCAAAGTCTCCTGGTGGAGTGGCAAGAAATGGGCATGGGCCAAGGCCGGAGGCGGTGGCTCACACCTGTAATCCCAGCACTTTGGGAGGCCGAGGCGGGCGGATCACGAGGTCAGGAGATCGAGACCATCCTGGCTAGGCTAATACGGTGAAACCCCGTCTCTACTAAAAATACAAAAAAATTAACCGGGTGTAGTGGCCGGCGCCTGTAGTCCCAGCTACTCGGGACTGTAGTCCCAGCTACTTGGGAGGCTGAGGCAGGACAATGGCGTGAACCCGGGAGGCGGAGCTTGCAGTGAGCCAAGATGGTGCCAGTGCACTCCAGCCTGGGCGACAGAGAGAAACGCTGTCTCAAAAAAAAAAAAAAAAAAAAAAAATCTCAAAGTCAAGATTCCACCTGGCAAGCTCTGGAAGGTGTGCAAGATGAATTGCCTATGACAGCCCCCTTTCTACAAGAATACCAAGTGGGGTTCAGAGAAGTGGGGAACTGCCCAGGGCTACACCTGCCTCACACCCCTTCCTGATCCACAGATGGGCAATCTATACCTGCGGGGGGCCGTCAAGAAGTCCAATGCACCACTTGTCAACGTGACCCTCTACTATGAAGCACTGTGCGGTGGCTGCCGCGGCTTCCTGGTCCGAGAGCTTTTCCCAACGTGGCTGATGGTCATGGAGATCCTCAATGTCACGCTGGTGCCCTACGGAAATGCACAGGTGCATGGGCGCTGGGAAAACTGAGGCACGTGGGCATGGGAGCAGGGGACCCAGCCTGCCAGCCAGCTCTCACCCTGCTGCCTTGCAGGAACAAAATGTCAGCGGCAGATGGGAGTTCAAGTGCCAGCATGGAGAAGAGGAGTGCAAACTCAACAAGGTGGAGGTGAGCGTCCCCAGGGCCCCACACTGGGGTGGGGGAAAACCGTCCGATGTACAGGAGGTAAATATGAGGATGCCAGCTCTGTCTTCTGCCTCGTGTGCTCCCATTTAATCACATCTTTATTCCCTATCTCCTGGGTGGGTACTGGTGATTATTACGAGAGGGTGTCAGGGTACCCTGGGCCCTCTTCATGCCCTCTCCTGCCCCCTCTCCAAACCCCAGGCCTGCCTGTTGGATATGCTTGACATGGATCTAGCCTTCCTGACCATTGTCTGCATGGAAGAGTTTGACGACATGGAGAAAAGTCTGCCACTAGTGAGTGACGCCCCTCACTCCACACGAGGAGGGGGACAAGGGTGGTAACCTTCCCTACACCCAGGCAGACCCAAATTCAAGTCTTAGCCTTGACCACTGCTGTCTGTGCAGCCCAAGAAAACAACCACCCTTCTTTATTTTATTTATTTATTTATTTATTTATTTATTTATTATTTGATTTTTTTTTTTTTT